TGTGTGTGTGTGTGTGTGTGTGTGTGTGTGTGTGTGTGTGTGTGTGTATAGCAAGGTTTCCTTATGTAGTCCAGGAATGGAATAGGGTATGAGTTGGGAATAGGACATTGAGATAACGTTTTAGCATGTAGCCCAGTCTGGCTTTAAATTCATGAGCTTCCTGCCTCAGCCTCCTAAGTGCTAGGGTTATAGGTATATACATGAGTCATTTTAAAACCCAAGTTAATTTGCCTTCAGATTAACTCCTTTGAACTTGCTATCAATCATTTGTTTCTTTCTCATTTCAGCACTTCAGAAGCATAATTGCAGCCTGAAGCGTGTGCATGTACACACACACCAGGTTACAGACTGAGAAAACTGAGTTCGAACTAAATTACAGTAGCACCTTGCTATGGACCATGTCCTCCCCTCCAGTACATTATTCAGGGGCTTCTTCCCACTCAGACCTTTCTAGACTATAGTCTGTGCTTAGAGATCTTGTCTGGTTCATGGCTTAATGGTTAAACAGACATTGTTTTTTACTTCTTTGAATATTTAACTTATAGACCTTTTTTGACACTGCCAGGTCTTATTTGTGGCCTATTTCTCTGCTTCTTCCAAGAATTTGCTTTTTATTAATCCAATGTAGGGGCTGCCAGGTTCTATTTCTCCATAGATAACACTTGCTTTTTTAAAATATTAAAATATATAGTAAATAGGAACTTTCTTTCAACTGTTTCAAAGAGGTATAGAAACATGTCTTGACATTAGAATCTCTTCTGAAGCAATTGATTTTTCAGTGTGAACTGATCTGAAAGATGTTTCAGAGAGATCATCTGGTCCAGACATTTAATTTAAACACACAGACAGGCCATTGAATTGTCTAAATTCATATATTAAGTCAGTGGCAGAAGACAGCCAGAATCCGGGCCTGATATCCAAACCAAGGCTCTTATGCTGCTTCATTTGTTTTCCGGCCTCAAGAGGAAGGCAGGAAGGTTAAAGTGCAACAAAGGAGGGGTACGGGATGCGGCTTAGTGGTGGAGTGCTTGTTTAATGTGTGCAAGGTCCTGGGCTCAATCACAGCAGTAGAGACAGAAAGATGGCTTGCTGATTAAGAGCACTTGCTGCGTAAGCATGAAGACTGCCATTTGGATCCCAGAATCCAAACAATAGCTGGGCATAGTCCCACACACACCTGAGACCCCAGAACCAACAGTATAACAAATGGAACTTTCTAGCTACCAGTCTAACCAAAAGAGAGAGGGAGAGACAGGAAGAGGAGGAGGGAGGAGAGTGAGGGGCTATCTCCAGAGTCCTTGCCTCAAAGGAACCAAGTGAAGTGTGGGAGAGGAATAGAGGACACCCACATGTTCCTCTGGCCTCTGTGAGCATGCACAGGTGCACAGCTCCATGCACTCATACAAATCCCTACACATCCTCACAGACACACATGGACACACACCACAGGAAAAAAATGAGAGGAGAAAAAACAGGCTACGAAGATGGGACAGTCTCTCACAGTGAACAAGAGAAGAAAGAAACCACAGACAGGAAAGGATATTATTAGTTCCTGAGATATCATTGATGATGTCGTTGTCACTATGGGATATTGATTATCCCTAAGAACCAGTCAGAATTTCTGTCTGTCTTGTTACATGTCACAAAGTTTCAGTAGCTGGAAATAGAGATAGGGAAAGGAAAAATAAAAACCAAAGTAGGCCAGAATAGAAGAGAGGAGACTGAGTCCACCGAGTGGGAAAGCCTACTTGGGAGACTTTCCTGGGATTAAAATAGGGAGTGAGATCTCCAGGCAGGGAAGTAAAGACTGGCAAGCCCTCATACAAGGGAAGAAGAAAGGAGAAAGGTAGCTGGCAGCATTAAGAGCCATTAACAGCTGGGTGTGGCATATACCTTTAATACCAGCACCCAGAAGGCAGAGGCAGAGGCAGAGGCGGGCAGATATGAGTATGAGACCAGCCTGGTCTATAGTGAATTCCAGGCCAGTAAGGGATAGTCTCAAAAGACAAAAATAAAATAAAAATAAACAAACCAGAATAACCTGTATAACCCCCCAGTATTTCCTGACCTGACCTATCTCAGTGGATTGGGAAAATCACAGGATTGTTTTTTAAGTTTTTCTTTTGTTTTGTTTTTTGCTATTGTGTCTTCTCAGGCTTAGAGATGCCTGTAATGGAATCTGCTCTTCAGTTCAGTTATAGAAATATTTGACTAAGGCAGAAAAATAGCTAACTGTAAGTAATCCTTCAAGATATTTCTAAGACTACCCTTGGCTGATAGCAGTTCTCAAACTTTGAATCCTGTCAGGTATCACTGTCTTGTCCAGTGTTCCAGCCTTCAGCCTGGCCATGAGAGCCCCTTATGTGGAGGGAACATGCTCCTTCCCGAGGCTCCCTGCACTTTTGTTCATCAGAGCATCACACTGGCCAGCTCTTCTGGGACAGGGCTGGAGATGTCACCAGTATTTCCCTACTTGAGAGTTCTACCTCAAGCCTTGACACTTGACTGCAAAGGAAGCATGCTGCAGGCTCTTTCCAGTGTCTCTTTGTTTGGATTTCCTGAGGACCAGTGAGGCCAGGAATTCTCAGGTTCTTGAAAGAGGCATTGATTTTGGCCCTTTTCACTTCTGCACAATATGGCACCAGGATGAATACACGACCTTTAATGTTCCTTCTTGTCTCTGAAAATCAGTCAGTTATTTTCTAATTTGGGAAAAGAAACAAAGGTGAACTGGACTCCACTCACATAGTTCACTCAGTTCATTCACATCATCTGAATTTTCTAACCAAACTATTTAATCCCATAATAGAGATACCTAAAATGCTTCAAGAAAATTATAGGAAGTCTTGGGGTTTATTAGTGCTTTTTTGTTTTGTTTTTGAGACGAGATTTTATTATGTGGGCTAGGCTGGCCTGAAACTCAATATGTAGACAAAGCTAACCTTGAACTCACAGAAATCTGCCTGCTTCTGCCTTGCCATTGATGCTGCCAAGTTGATTACTCTATTATAGTTTGTCTCCTCAGTGTTCACAAAGGGACACTGGCTTTGCTTTTGGGGACTAACAAAGTAAGGTCAATGAGTTTTTCCTAGTTAGAAAATGGTAATGTTTCTTAGGGTGTAAGAAAGTGTCTACTGCATCATAGTTCTGAGTCCCTGGGAAGTAGTAGCAGACCTGTCATTCCTTAATAGATATTACATCCAGGAAGTTGAAAACAATTGTTTGGTATTTCTATGCTTAATTTGAGAAAGGGATACTTTCTGACTTTCCTTTTTCCTTGCTCTGCACATAGCCCACTAGTATGGTTTTCTGTTCCTTAGCTCAGAGCATCTATAGACTGGCTTACCTAGCTGCCCTTACTCTTGTGTAGTAGAAAACCTTTCAGACTGTGGACTTGGAGGAGATGAACTGGATTCCTCCCTCCTTCTGTTGCCAGGTCTCTCTGCAATAGCACTTTATCTGCTCAGTATTTCTGCTGTACTGGGCTTATTTGTGACACCAATGTATCAATAAAGTGGAATTGTTCTCTGTGTGTTTGTCTGAGTCTCTGAAGATGAGGAGGCAGGACACAGTCTAAGTACATCAGCATTTCTGCTTAGGGCCTCCCAATGCAAGGTCTTGTGGTTTTCAGCTTCTTAACTGCTGCTACTGCCTCAGCTCCCTCTTAAAGTCTTTGAACAGAGTAGTGAATCTTATTGAACATGGCTTTGTAGTCTATGAAGCAAATGGAAAAGGTATTGAACTCACAGTGTCAAGTGAGAACACCCATGTTAAGTGCTGGGTAGTCAATCTCCATGTACAAGAACAATCTTCTACGTTGAACCAATCAGCAGTATGTGGAGAAGAATTACTTCGAGAAAAGGAAATGTTTATTTGGATAACAAATGAGAGAGGCTTGGGAAGGGAAAGGGTTGAATTAACCTTATTATATTGTTGGGTTATTATATGGCATTCCAAAGAAATGCATTTTGGAGAGGAGGGGGCACTGGAGAGATGGCTCAGCAGTTAAGAGCAATGATTGCTTTTCTAGAGGTCCTGAGTTCAATTCCCAGCAACCACATGGTGGCTCATAACCATCTGCAATGGGATCTGATGCCCTCTTCTGGTGTGTCTGAAGACAGCAACAGTGTATTCACTATATATATTATAAGAAAAAAAGAAAAGGATTTTTCTCATGATAGAAACTTATGTTTTAAGGATACATACTTTTAAATTTTTTCACATTTGTTTATTTTGTATAAATGTATAAGAAGCCTGCAAGCAGCATGCTTCAACTCCCGACAGTGGCTCTCACTTTCTAGAATTACACTTCTGTTACTCAGGAGGTACTGCCACTTTACCTCAAACAGCCTCTTCCTCCTCCTCTTCCTCTTCCTCCTCCTCCTCTTCTTCCTCCTCTTCCCCCCTCTTCCTCCTCCTCCTCCTCCTCCTCCTCCTCCTCCTCTTCCTTTTTCTTCTTTTGGTTTTTTGAGACAGGGTTTCTCTGTGTAGCCCTAGCTGTCCTGGAACTCACTCTGTAGACCAGGCTAGCCTCGAAAAAGGAGTGTTTGTCAGAAGTGGGATACGATCAAACATCTTCTTAAGCTTCTTGAGTTATTCTAATTATAAAAAATGTCAAATGTTTGCCAGGCTAGGCTCTTTAATAATGAATAACAGAATCTATAGTCATAACCACCTCCAGAAAATTTATACAATTGTTTTAATGATCTTTCCTATTGCTGGGAGCTGGTTGTACACACCTTTAGTCCCAGCACT